CTTTGATTGATAAGATTGTGGCTAGGGTAAGAAGTTGGCAGGCCAAGTCTCTTACTTATGCAGGTCGTATTGAGCTGGTAGGGTCAGTTCTTTATATCCTGACTCAATTCTAGATGTCGGTTTTCCTTCTACCAAAAGCAGTTATTAAAGAAGTAGAGAAAATTTGTAGCAATTTTGTGTGGGGTGTGAAAGAAGGGGTCAAGGTAAAGGCAAATGTGGTTTGGCATCATCTTACATTCCCTAAAAAGGAAGGGGTCTGGAGTTCAGGGATCTGTCAAGCTGGAACCAGGCTTGTATGGCAAGACACATTTGGCTGATTCTCTTGCAAGAAGGGTCCATCTGGGTAGCCTGGATTCACATATTCAAGCTTAAAGGCAGGAGCTTTTGGACCTGCACATGTTCGTCTGGTTCATGGAACTGGAGGAAGATTCTAAAACTAAGACAAAGAGTAGGTTCCTACATCTCTTTCAGGGGAGAAGAAATCTTGTTGGATGTCTCTCCTATGCCTATTTTCTCTATCAAGAGGGTCTATAACCTCTTTAGACCTTTCGGAAGTACTGTAAGTTGGTGGAAGATTCTGTGGAAAGGCAGGGGTATACCAAGAAATCGGATCCTAACATGGTTGGTAATGAGAGATAGTATAAACACAAAGGTGGAAATGCAAAAATGGGGTGTCACAGGAGACTTGAAGTGTGTTTTTTGTGAGGCTGGAGTTGAAGACAGGGACCATCTCTTTGTGCATTGTCTTGTCTCTCGACAGATCCATATTTTACTTTTTGGCAAGCTCTACGTTCCTCCTATGCAGAGCTGGGACGATGAGGTAAGATGGGCTGTTTTGAAGCTTAGTGCTGTAACAGAAGAAGCAAAAGCGAGAAGGATCATATGGCAGAGCTGGGTCAGCAATGTCTGGCGCGAAAGATTTAGAAGAATGTAAGCTGGGCAGGTGATTTCCTCCACTGTGTTACTGAGGATGATTAAGTCTGAAGTGGAATGCTTCTTGGGTAGACAGAGGGTTACTCAATTTTGGAGGTGATTTTGATTGTTTATTTGTCTCAGAGGTATATGAATTTTTTGATTGTCGTCTTCTTTTCTTTGGTTATTAAATCACCTAGCTAACAGGGTAGTTGTTAGCAACTTTCTTTTTGATGAAATGAAACCCATCGATTTATAAAAAAAAAGGTATTGATGGATGGTCTCACTAATTTCATCTTCATTCTCTCAATCGATTCATAAAAAAAAAGGTATTGATGGATGGTCTCACTAATTTCATCTTCATTCTCTCAATTCCTATCACTTTTGATATGAATTGTAATTCCCAAAATTTAGACCCAATGGAATTTAATTCTCAACCTTTTTATTATTCCAAACATAATATATGGAAATGGAATTCCAATTCCTTACTTTTTTGTCAATCCAAACAGGCTGTAAGCGATTTACTGGTTTTGGTTAATCGCCACACTTATACTTTTTACCTCTGGAACTTCGTTATCTATAGTAAGATACTAACTTATTAAGCTTAAAACCAGGTACTATACCAAAGGTTTGACAAGAAATTTTTGGGTAAATACAATTTATTAATAGAACCTTTCATTTTAAACAAAATAATAATTAATTTTTAAAATAATTTATTAGCTAAATCGTTAACTTTCCATCAAGTCAATTGATAGTTGACTATAACGTGGCAAATAAATTACTGGGTCAAACTATTTAATATTATTTTTATTTGCTTTGCCACTGAAGCAAGAAAACTAAATAAAATAAAAGCAAACCTCTGCACGAACGTACCCTCCTCCGCCCACACTCTTAACACTTCCGCAACCATCTCTTCTTCGGCATCGACAAGTATGGCTTCATCGCCAATAAGATATCTCACACTCCTCTCTATCGCATCCACTCCTCCTCCCTTAACCCCTTCGACGCTCTGCACGGTGGCATCAATGCCCTCTCCTCCCTCTTTTCCGGTTGTGGTGTGGCAGATGAATCGGCGGAGGCTGGTGGATGGTTTTCAATCAAGGGATTCTCCTCAAATCAATCTAATAGACGTATGCATTCACACATGTATTTGATATATTTCAATGAATCAAAACCATTGATAATTATTTTTTAAATTAATTAATTGTATGGTTTGTGAAAGAGAATTAGGGGCTAGGGATCACCCATTAGATGTAAGGTATAGTATCATGTCTCAAACTTCAATTAATTCATAGTTTAAATAGCAAAATTCGATGGACGTACGATAAGTTTAGTGTACGTGAGGCATAGGCTAGCCTGAACTATATATATTTAAGGTGACTTTTTCGGTGCATTGAGCTTTAAATGAATCTTAAGACATTGAACTTTAGATTTTAATTGGTAGCATTAATTTTATGTGATAATATAACATAGGATCACAACTAACCATAACCTTTAAACCTTCAAATTGGAACCCAGACATTTGGGTTAACCCTCACCAATGCACTAATCCAGTAGACGGTAGGGTATGCTTCCATATATATATATATATATATATATATATATATATATATAGTGGCTACTTCGGTGCACTCACTTTTTTGGGTGCACTTATAGTGGCTACTTCGGTGCACTCACTTTTTTGGGTGCACTCAGTGCACCCAACTCTAAAAACGTCCATATTACATCAAATTTTGAACTTTAATTAGTACTCTCAATATAATATGATGATATGACATAGAATCATAACAAATCAATCCATTACCCTAACCCCTTAACCTTCAATTTTGAATCCCAACCCAAAATCCCAAATTGTAAACCTAAACCCTAACCCTAAATCCCTAAATCCTAAATCCTTCAAATTAAAGTAAATTTTGAATGAATTTTTTTTCAAATTCATGTGCTTCTTGTTCATAATATCATAAGCAACAATTGATACCGTTTTGACATGAATCGCATGGTCAGAATGACAATTATGAGGCGGGTGCACTGAGTGCACCCGAAAAAGTGGGTGCACAGAATACGCCACCATATATATAAATATATATGGGGAGTTCTACGGTACCCAGGGTGAAATCCGGGGTACCGTATACCTTGAGTAAGAAAATGCTATCTAGAACTTGAATTGACTGATCTTTCGGACATGATACTATACTCTAACCCTTAAAGATCAACACCTAGGTCTTAATTCTCTAAATCTTATACCCCAAGATCAATTTAATTAGAAACAATAATCGACGGTTATGATTCGTCCAAATATAGGCAAAAAATTCAATGCACCATCTTAGCGTTTATAGTTTATGATTTGGATAATTAGGACCTAGGGTTCACTCATTAAGGGTTAGGGTATAGTATCATGCCCAAAAATCCTGCTAATTCGAGGTCTAGATAGTGTTTTCATACTCAAGGTATGCGGTACCCCGGATTTCACCCGGGGTACCATAGAAGGCACCATATAATATATATATATATATATATATATATATATATATTCAGGCTAGCGTACGCCCGGGCGTACGCTAACCTAGCGCACGCCCCATTGAGTTTCACTATATAGATTACGAATTAATCAGAGTTTGGGGCATGATACTATACCCTAACCTCTAATGGGTGAACCCCAGTCTCTAATTTTCTAACCCAAACCATGAGGTTCGTTTAATCTTAAAATGAAAACCAATGAAAATTTCGACGAATCAGAATCGTTGATTTTCATTTTTAAGATTAAACGAATCTCGTGCTTTGGGTTAGCGAATTGGGGACTGGGATTCACCCATTAGGGGTTAGGGTATAGTATCATGTCCCAAACTCCGATTAATTCTTTGTCTAAATAGCAAAACTCAATGGGGCGTACGGTAGGCTAGCGTACGCCCGGACGTACGCTAGCCTTTGCCATATATATATATATATATATATATATATATATATATATATATATATATATATATATATATATTTTCAGTATGTTGGTGAAAAATGGGAATGCTGCTTTGTCGAAGGGAGGTCCAAGACTTTATTATTGCTCTCGGGTAGACTAATGTGTATAGGTTTTATGTTTCCTTCAACAGCCAAGGTGGTGCAAATGTGACCCACCTTGGTGTAAGTTGCCTCCGCCACTGATCGTTATATTTATTGTGTTTTTTACCAGGTGACTCGCATAAAGCTACAACGCGAATTAATCCCGACTAGAGCCCAAGTTTTTAAACTCTAGTCGGGTGCAGTATAGGGCAAGTATTTAATTGTCAAACTCGGGCCGGTCCATGTTCCCCTACTTCAATCGCTTAGGTTGTTATCTAGCAAAACGATTTGGGTTTAAAACTAAGAAAACTACAAAATAAACAAACAAGTAAAGTAAATCGAGAGAATTCTATATGAGAGGACTTCACTTGGGTATTGCTTCCCCTAGTCTCGTATTAAGAAAGCATGAACGAAACTCTAGTGTGAAGGATGTGTTCATAAATCGTTAGGAGGGTGCAACTAGCTAGGGCAAACACTCCTAGTCGATCGATTAAGGCTTTTGACAAGAAGCTAGAGAATCTAGCTCTCTTAACCGACCAACTGAAGAAACCCTAACTCTCTTAGTTGACCAATTTAGGATTGTTGCATCAAGTTAGTAATATAACTCTCTTAACCTTTCGGTTAAGGATGACAACAATAGGCTAGATCGACATTCGACACTAGGGGTGTACATGGGCAATGTAGTTATGCTGCTCACAGCATAAAGTGTGAGTAGATACTCACACGGTGGATCCATTGTCCATGTGGGTGAGAGTAAGATGGCACCGGTTTGGGTTGAAGAATGTGAGAGTCGATTTGGGTCGGCTGGCCGAACCCATGGCTGACCAAGCCCACAAATTCAAAATTAAAAAATCAAACCTATTCTTTCCCCAATTCAGTTTCTCCGCCAGAACCACTTCTAATTCCTCTCTCTCCCACTTTTCCCCTCTCTCTCACTTTCCTCCTCTCACGAAAACGACGAAGAAGCAAGCGAAGCGGCGACGACAAAGCAGCGAAGCGGCGGCGACGGACCAGCAACGGCGGCGAGCGAAGCGGCCAAAACGAGTTTCATCTCCTTCAAAGTTGGCCAGCGAGTCCACTCGGTCGGGGATCCCCGTCGAATCGGCAGCGTCAAGTATGTAGGAACGGTGGAAGGGTACTCCGGCAGTTGGGTTGGCGTCGACTGGGACAATGGTGATGGCAAGCACGACGGGACGGTGAATGGAGTTCGCTACTTCCAAGCGAGATCGGGCCGATCTGGGTCGCTGGCTCGTCCTCAGAATTTGAGCGCCGGCATTTCTTTCCTGGAAGCTCTGTGCATCAGGTATAAAGGCCAGTCCACTAAGGAAGAAGAAGGTACGCGAAGGAAATTGAATTTTGTTCTTCTTCTTTGCCGGCTGATTTAAATGGACAGCTTGATTCTGATTTCTGGGTTCTGGTTTTTGCAGAGGAAATGTATGTGCTTTCGGCTAAGAACAGAAGGGTGCCTGTGGAATTTTTGGGTTAAGAGAAAATTCAAGATAAGCTGAGCCGGTTTGATGATATATCTGGATATTGGTTTTTACTCAGCATGATATGAGTTCTAACTTGCCTGGATAATTGTTTGATATATCTTGATATTGGTTTTGTTTGAGCATGATATCAGTTATGACTTTCTTGGATAGTTGTTTGATAGGATCTGGGTATTTGTATGTGATTTGTGTGCGTTCCGATATTATTTATTTTGATTATGGATATCCATTGTATTTTGCTTGGATTGTTTCTTTGATATATCTGGATATTGGTTTTTACTCAGCATGATATGAGTTCTGACTTGCCTGGATAATTGTTTGATATATCTGGATATTGGTTTTTGATCAGCATGATATCAGTTGTGATTTGCCTGGATAATTGTTTGATATATCTGGATATTGGTTTTTGGTCAGCATGATATCAGTTGTGATTTCACTGGATAATTGTTTGATATATCTGGATATTGGTTTTTAACCAGCATGATATCTGTTGTGAATTGCTTGGATAATTGTTTGATATATCTGGATATTGGTTTTTGGTCAGCATGATATCAGTTGTGATTTCCCTGGATAATTGTTTGATATATCTGGATATTGGTTTTTAACCAGCATGATATCTGTTGTGAATTGCTTGGATAATTGTTTGATATATCTGGATATTGGTTTTTGGTCAGCATGATATCAGTTGTGATTTCCCTGGATAATTGTTTGATATATCTGGATATTGGTTTTTAACCAGCATGATATCTGTTGTGAATTGCTTGGATAATTGTTTGATATATCTGGATATTGATTTTTGGTCAGCATGATATCAGTTGTGATTTCCCTGGATAATTGTTTGATATATATGGATATTGGTTTTTAACCAGCATGATATCTGTTGTGAATTGCTTGGATAATTGTTTGATATATCTAGATATTTGTACGTGCAGGGATAAAACGAACGTGAAGAGACATCGACGAAATCCACCGCCGTCACCACCGCCACAGCCAGAGGAGGATGAGGAAGAAGAAGATGCTGAAGTCGCAGCGCAAGTACGTGCACAAGGAGTAAAGACCTTTAGATAGGGTTCAGTTTTCAAATACTGATTTTGTATCCGATTGAAGATGTTAGGAGTAAAGACCTTTGTCGCATGTTGTAGGAACGGGCTATCCTCCATCATAATATAAGGAACCGATTGTTTCCCATTGTAGTCTGACTCAGTCTCCTTGCGTCTTTTTTCAGCCAACAAACTACATTTACAAAGCACAAGAAAGAGTTTAGTGCCCAGACTAATATCCACTCAAACCAATATTAATATCTCAACTAAACAAAGTAATATTTAACAATAGCATATAAATATCCGGACAACGCTGACAAATATCCAAAATTTAAGTAGACTAATATCAAAGAAAGGCAAATAAATATTATGCGTACCTGCTAAAGTGAATGAAAAACAAGTCCAAATCATTTTCAATAAAAGTCGCACTTGTGCATTGCACGACTCGCTGACTTGCGTAGTCAACATCCCGACTGCGAATTGATCTCTCAACCATAAGGAACACCATCGACGACGAAAACCTACAAACATCCCTGCACAAGACAACTATTAATGACAATGCATAACTGAACGAGTGTAAAAAAAACTTAAGGGAATTAGGAATTGATATTATGCCAACACATGTCAACAAATATCTGTAAAACCCAGACTAGTATCTCATAATGTCATACCAATATTCGTCCTTTTACAAAAACATATCCTATCAGGTCATGTCAATATCGGCCCAAAAAATTGTTTTACACCATCGACGACGAAAACCTACAAACATCCCTGCACAAGACAACTATTAATGACAATGCATAACTGAACGAGTGTAAAAAAAAACTTAAGGGAATTAGGAATTGATATTATGCCAACACATGTCAACAAATATCTGTAAAACCCAGACTAGTATCTCAAAATGTCATACCAATATTCGTCCTTTTACAAAAACATATCATATCAGGTCATGTCAATATCGGCCCAAAAAATTGTTTTATGAGCCTTCGGCCCATGGGCCCTCGGCGGGCAGCCCTTACTAGGCTGCAAGCCACCAAACCCTAATTGTTCCTTCATATTCAACTTCCCGCCCAAAATTTCGGGCCGCCCCCACCAGACCCAAATTATTCCTTCCTTTTCCAACTTCCCGCCCAAAAATTCGGGCCACCCAAAAAGCTGCCCACCTCCCGCCCAAAATTTCGGGCCGCCCAAAACCCGCCCACTTCCTCCGCCCAAATTCTCGGCTCACCCAAAAAGTGGCCTTTTTCTCTTTCCTCTTGGCTCATGGGTCAGTGAGTATCTACTCACAAATTGACCTGTGAGCAGTTTAACTTTTCCGGTACATGGGTCGGGTGGTCCGGGTTGAGGCATTTTAATCACCCGACTCATGCACTACGGTTTGGGAAATATTAAACCCAAACCCACCCAAAAAAATCGAAACCCTACGGTTTGTTTATTATTGGGTTGGGTCGGGTTGGCGATATTTTTAAGTAAAAACCCAACCCAACACAAAATATGTAATTATTTTACATCATAAAAATATTTTATAACAAATAAAAAATTCAAACGAATAAACCGAGGTGAAAGGTATCAAAATTCACAAATATTGTTTGAATTTTAATAAAACTTGATTTACTTCAACTTATGTCTAGTTTTTTTCACGACATTTGTTTAAATAGGCTAAATACGCATCCATAATATGATATTCTTTTAAAATTGTACACAAGAAAAATACGTGAATCATAGCTATATTAAATATATGTATAAACTTTAAGTCGAAGAATGCATTAGATTAGTGAGACTTTAAGAGAAAAACATGGCGAAATATTGTTTGAATTTTAATAAAACTTGATTTACTTCAACTTATGTCTAGTTTTTTTCACGACATTTGTTGAAATAGGCTAAATACGCATCCATAATATGATATTCTTTTAAAATTGTACACAAGAAAAATACGTGAATCATAGCTATATTAAATATATGTATAAACTTTAAGTCGAAGAATGCATTAGATTAGTGAGACTTTAAGAGAAAAACATGACGAAATATCTTAATTTTCTCATAAGTATGACTATATACGACATAAATATTTTTTTGGATATGAACTCATATCAATAATTGGAACACGGGTTGGGTCGGGTTCTACGGGTTGTGTAATCCAAAATCCAAACCCAACCCAAAAGAGGCGGGTTGTACAAATGAAAACCCTCACCCAACCCAAAACCTTCAATTTAGCGATAAATACAGGTGGGTTGGGTCGGGTTGGACGGGTGGGTCGGTTTGCGGGTGTGTTTGTTCACCCCTATTCGACACCACACTAAACAGTGAGTCGAGGGGGGGGGGGTTTGAGATTTTCATTAGTACTGTACAATGTTTCAAGGGTATACGCATTTGGTCCTTCAAGTTTACAGGACTTACAAGTGGCATGCATATACTAGGGTAAAATACATCAGGTGCCACTTAAATTTGAGAATTGGGGGGTAGACATACTACTTAACTTTGAATAGGGCGTCTGGTACCATTAAAGTTGTCAAAATGTGCATTCATCTACTTTTTCATCCAACCCAAAATTTTAATTATATTTTGATACCCAAAACTTTTAAAAACATCTAAAACTATATTTCAACAAGTTTTATCTAATATAATAATTAGAAAACCTTCTAACGTATTATTACTAGAATGGCTAATCCAAAATTTTCAATAAAATAGATAAATAAGTAAAAATAGTAAACGAATATTAAGAAGAATAATTAATATGCTAGAATATAATGATAAATATTTAAAATAAATATTAGAATATAGTTAAAATAGTTTCACCAAAATAAAATAGTTAAAACAGAACCTAATCGATTATCAATACATCAAAATCAAAAATGATAAATGGAAAATAATCAGAAAGAATTAAACATATTTCATTAAATGAAAAAAATTAGAATGAAAGAGATGAAAAGTAACCAAGTAATAAATAAAATATAAAAGCTACAACATTCGATAAAAAATATAGAAAAGAAAATATGACTATAAAAGCTACATTACAACATTGTTTAGTTGCAACATTCATGTAATAATTCAATTATTAGAACACATAATGATAATTGATTCTAAAATTGCTATTCAAAATTGGTTTGGTATCAAGTATTCAAAAGATGATTCTAACTAAACAATAAAAAATGATTTTTTTCATAAGTCCAAATGATTTTTTTAGGGTAAATGACACATTTGGTCACTGAGATTATTAAATTGTGTCATATTTAGTCACTAGAAAAAATTAATATCAATTTTGTTCACTCGAATTACCGAAACTGGTCAAATTTAGTCACTCTCCCGTCAGTTTCCGTCCAACTCCATTAATGTAGTTGGACGGAAACTTTTGGGAGAGTGACTAAATGTGACATGTTTCAGTAATCCGAGTGACTAAATGTGACATTTTTCAATAATTCGAGTGACCGGAGTTGGACAGAGGCTACAGAAGAGTGACCAAATGTGACCTGTTTCAGTAATTCGAGTGACCAAAATTGATATTAAATTTTTCTAGTGACTAAATATGACACGATTTAGTAATCTCAGTGACCAAATGTGTCATTTACCCGATTTTTTTATAATAAGAAAAGTAGAAGGACCAATTATAAAATTTAGAAAACGGAATATTCCAAGAATATTCTGTCAACTTTAACGGAATACACTTAACAGTAAACTTAAGAGGTACCGGGTGCACATATAATAGAGTTCAGTGGTACCCGACACCCTATTCAAATTTAAGTGGTATGCCTACCCCAATTCTGGCACCCAAGGTATTTTACCCTGCATGTACTTCATTTCTTTTTATATCAAAGGGTTAATGCACCTTTTGGTCAATCGCCCCTAGGGCTGAGAATCCGGTCCCGGTTTTTCTGGTCAAACCGAAAACAGGACAGTTAAACCGCCCCGATTTCAATCGGAAACCGGATTCCCAAATACCCAATCCAATTTCCGCTCGATAGCTGTTTGGGAAAACCGACCCGGTCCGACTTAA